AACATAAATAACATTTAGTATACAATTTAGAAAACTAAAAATACAAAAGAAAAAATATCCCTCATCACGTGACCTAAAGAAAGCTACAGTTAATATTTTGACATTTTGGGATGTCCTTCTGACGCATTTTCCATGCATAGATGCTATCTATGTCATGTGTTTTTTTTTTCCTTTACATAAGTGATATCATATTGTATGTGATGTCCTGTGGCCTGCTTCTTTCTCTTATTGTGAACATTTTTCCATGCAAGATTTGTAATGGCTGTGTAGTATTTCATCAAGTGCATGGATCATAATGCACCTATTCAGCCCCTTTTATTCAGCAACCCAGTGCTTTCCAGTTCTTGTTTGTTTTTGCTTTGTTGTGTCTGCCCTGATAAGCTGGCTGCAGGGAGCATTTCTGTGCAGTGCCCAGAGCACTCCATGAGTGCCTTTTTGGCCCTTTTCTCACACAGGTACATCGGCCCCAGCACCGTGTTCGGCTCCAGTGGTAAGCTTGCCAATGTGGAGCAGTGGCGGTGTGTCTCCATCCTCCGGAGTCATTCAGGCGGTGAGTGGGACTGCCTGTTGGGGTGGGCGGGCCCCTGACACCTGGCTCAGATCAGCAGCACCACCACGTCCCCTGTGGGACTGTTTGGTCCTTAAAGCAGCCCTATGTCTGGGTTGTCCCTCCCCATCACAGTCAGTCACACCCTGCCTATCCCTTACGATCTGTGCAGTCGCTGGCTCCACTACCTGTCTCCAGCTGCATTCAGTCTCCCCACTCTTGCCCTCATGGGGTATATGTTTATATCTTTAATGTAGAACTTCCCACGTTCTGCTGTTTGTCCTGCTGAACAGAATCAGTACCTTCATCAGCGGATCACTAAGTCCGTAAGCACACTTTGTTTATTCCCCAGAAATCAGCTCACAGATGCCCATTGAAAAGATCTCAACTTGAACTTGAGTATGTTTGCAGTGGTTTAAATAAACTTGGTATGGAAAGAAGCACATTTTATGAATTTAGACTGAGGGGGAAAGGTGCCCATGCACTGTATACTCAGGTGTCAAGGATACCAGGTTGAGTGCAATTTAGACTTGACTCAGGAGACTGAGTCCATTTGGTCCAGGAATGGACCAAAGGGTTTTCCAGGCAGGGTGGTACAGCATAAATGAGAAAGTCTTGGTGTGAATGGGGATTTGGAGGCATTTCACCATGGGTGGATCTTTATAGACAAGGCAGGGAGCAACACAAAGTGAGACTGGTCAGGTATGCCAGGGTCGGATCATGGAAAGCTTGTGCTCCCTGTTACTGAGGGAATCCCTTATCATGGAAGAGATAAGGAGCCATTAAAAGCTTTGAAGCATAACAGAGAGGTAATTGTGACAGCTCAGTGAAGTGGAGGTTCTTCCAGTGGTTCAGATGGACACCATCAGGGCCTGAGCTAGGCCTGTGATAATTGAGGTAGAGAAGAGGAGATCAATTTGGGAATACTTAGAACTGGGCACAGAGAGGTATGAGATAGATTTCTGACTGGATGCCTAGATAGTCAGAGGTATGACCTCTGCTGAGACCTTAAGGACAACAGGCTTATGGGAATGGATACTAGTTCAGAATGGGCTTGCCCCTGGCTTGAGGGGTAGGGGAAGAAATGTCAAGAAACCTTGGAATTGAGCCTGGAGATCTGGGCTAGGACAGGGCAGGAGTGAGAGGTGTGCGAGGTGGCATCACCTGTAGTCCATTGGCAGTGTATGCTTAGCGGATTCTCTGTAGACAGTTTAAAGGAGAACAAACCCATCTTGGTGGCAGCCATAGATTGAGTCCACGTTTGTGAAAGTTGAAACGGTAGCGTTGTATTATTGTTTGATAATGAAATTGTGTAATTTGCCCTTATTTGTGTCACAGTACTAACAGTGAAGTCTAGTTGGACTTTTCTGGAACTTGGTGCACATGTCTATAAGGGTGCCCAAGCATGGGGTAGGCCTCAAGTGAGGACTACAAGGCCCTAGCCAGAGCCTTGCATTCTCTCTCTTACCCCACCCCCCAGTAGGGCTCCTTTACCAGACAAGTAGGGTTGACACTCATTACTCACTGGTCCTGGTAGCAGGTGTGGGCAGAACCATTCAAGAAGAAAAATCAATGACAAGCAGAAGTAAATGAATAAGAAAGAACTGGATCTTTGAAAAGCAAAGTGTGAGAAATATATACTTGGTGTATTTAATTGGGGGTTGGGAAGAAAAAGCCTAGACAAAATTAGAGGTTAAAGATCTAGAAAAACATTTAACCCAGACAGAAAAAAATCATCAAACAGTACAATATAATGTTTATACTATTAAGCTAAAAAACAAAATACTAAAAAATCGTTTTCTAGAAAATATAAACTTTCATAATTGATACCATAGGATTAGGAAAAACTGAACAGAATAATAACCAATGAAGAAATGGAAGACTGTCTTCAGAAATACTTCTTGGTCCTAAATTATTTGTACATGCATTGTTTTGAGCTTTTAAGAAAAATTATACAGAACAATAGCAATATTTATAATTGAAAAGGAGATATAAACCAGTATTATTATATCTGGAAAATACAAGAAAATCTAAGAACAATAATGTAACAAAAGCATAGAATAATATGAATAAAGATAGAAAAATCAGAAGCGATACTCGTAAATATAACATTCGAAAGCAGTAATTTATTTATTTATTTGAGACAGAATCCTGCTCTATTGCCCAGGCTGTAGTACAGTGGTGCGATCTCAGCCCACTGCAACCTCCACCTCCGGGGTTCCAGCGATTCTTCTGCCTCAGCCTCCTGAGTAGCTGGGACTACAGGCGCATGCCACCACACCCGGCCAATTTTTTTTGTATTTTTAGTAGAGACAGGGTTTCACCATGTTAGTCAGGATGGTCTTGATCTCCTGACCTCGTGATCTGCCTGTCCCGGCCTCCTACGGTGCTGGGATTACAGCTGTGAGCCGCTGTGCCCGGCCAGAAAACAGTAATTTATTATGATTAAATGTGACTTATAATATAAGTGTAGTACAAGAGAATCTGTTAATGTAACTTTATATACTAGGAAGTTAGATAGGAAAAGCTACAGTCATCTTAGGTATTTTAAAAGGAACATTAGATAATTCAATATCAGTTCCTGTTAAAAATGCTTTTTAAAAAATGCCTATAGAAAGATATTTCTTTTCTTTTTTGTTTTTGAGACTGTGTCTCACTGTGTCACCCAGGCAGAGTGCAGTGGTGCAATTACGGCTCACTGCAGCCTTGAACTCCTGGGCTCGGGTGATCCTCTTGCCTCAGCCTCCCGAGTAGCTAGGACTACAGATATGCATCACCATACCTGGCTAATTTTTTTTTACTTTTTGTAGAGATGAGGTTTCACTATGTTGCCCAGGCTGGTCTTGAGGTCTTGGGCTCAAGAGATCCTCCCACCTGCAGCTCAAGAGATCCTCCTACCTGCACCTTCCAAAGTGCTGGGATTACAGACGCAAGCCATCACACCTGGCCTAAAGCTGTTTCCTTAACATGGTAGAGTCCTTAGTCTTTTTCAAACCCGTGGCAAATATTACAGTTCACAGTTAAGCCTGGTTGTGGTTTATATCAAGAAAAGACAATGATGGGTGTTGTCATTTAATTTCTTGCTCTGGAATTTCTGCAACACAGTTAAACAGAAACTGGAAAATAAGACAAAAAGGAAATGAAGGTGACATTATTTCATATTAAGAAAAACCATAAGATAATAAAGCTCTTGGAACAAATAAAGCACTGAAAAATACTTAGAACTAATGAGTCTTTATATTGGCCTCAGAACAATTTTAAATTATTTATCTTTTGCTACTAATAGCCAATTAGAATAACTCATGATAAAAAGAGAATTATACATAGTGGGATCAAAAGTTATAAATATCCAGGAACAAGTAATCTTACCAAGAAATGAATTAGATTTCTACGACTTAAATCACAAACGTTTTAAGATATAAACATTGGGAGATAGAAAATGGCTTCATAAATTCAAAGGCTAAATGAAATACATTTTTCCTCAAATATTTACTTGTCCATATACCAAACATTTATTGAGTGTCTGCCATGTTCCAGGCACTGTTCTTCTCTCAAGAAGTTTTGTTCTTGTAAAAGAGACTGACGAGTGAGTAGTATAGGAGATTTGAAGATTAGCCCAGAGGGCAGAGTCCTGTAAGGAGCTGGAAGATGAGTGCTGGGGGCTCAGTGAGGAGATGACATTTGAGGGAACACTGGACGGCGATGAGGGGACAGCCAGTGCGAAGGCCCTGGAGCATGGACATGTGCTTAGTGTGCCCAGTGAACCCCTGGGAGCTGGGCTGCAGAGGAGGCTACGAGAGGGAGTGTGCCTTTGAGACCATGGTGAAGGCTCTTCTCTGAGCAAGAATAGGAAGGCTCAGCAGGGATCTGGGCAGAGGAGTTGAGACCTTTGGCAGCAGTGTGGATTCTACCATGTGGGGCTCAGGGCTGCACTGGGAAGACCAGTAAAGGAGCCGCTCCGAAAAACTAGGGAGAGACAATGGTGGTTTGGACTTGGGTCATAACACGGAGGTGGTGAGAAGTGGTCAGAGGCGGATTTCCTGGTGCATTGAATATGGGATAAGAGATAAGCAGAGGAGTCAGGATGGCTTCCCGGACTATGGTCCAGACAGAGGAAAGGATGCAGTGAATATAACCTGAAGCAGGAAGTCTGCAGTTGGGACAGAAATGTTTGTTAAGGGAAGTGTTTTGGAGTTTGGTTTTGGACATGGTAAGTTTGCCAGTGTAAGGGGACATACTGTGTAGACATTTGGAAATATGAATCTTGGAAATATGAGGTTCTGGGTATGAGCAGAGTCCAAGGATGAGCCTAGGGATTGGAGAGCTGAAACCGGCAAAAGAAGCTAGGAGAGGCCAGTTAAGACAGTGAAAAGAAGCCAAGCATGGTGGTTCATGCCTGTAATCCCAGCACTTTAGGAAGCCGAGGCATGAGGATCACTTGAGGCAGCCTGGGTGTCATAGTGAGACCTTGTCTCAACAGCAATAACAAAAGAGGCAGCGAAGAGAGTGTTTGAAGGAGAGGGGAACGGGCAGCATACTGCTTATTGCTGAGGGGCAAAGTGAAGACCAAGGAGGGACTGCTAGGCTTGACAGCATGGAGGCTGCTGGGGGCCTAGGCAAGTGCAATATTCATGTGGTGTCATTGGGCCAGAGGTGTCATTGGAGGATATTCAAAAAACACTAGGGGAGGAGCTGAGCTTTGTCAGGTATGTGGGAAGATAGATGGAGGAGAAGAAAAGGGGGAGTGGTGGTGGGCTGTCAGCTGGAGGAGTGAGATAAGGACCAGGTGGGTGGCAGGTGGTGAGAGGACAGCAGCATCAGTAGATCGGAGTTCCTGGTGGTGTGAAAGTGCTGTTGGAGCTGAGGGTGAGCTAGGAGCACAGGGCTGATGGCTGGCCTGTGGAAGGTTGGAATTGAGATGGATTGCAGTGATTTGTCATGGAAGGCCTCTAGATATGACCATGGGGTGAAAATAGTAGAAACCAAGGTCATCAGAAGGGAAGGAGGAATTTAAGGAATCAAGAGCCTGGGATGTTAGAAGAATCATCCTCCTGGAGTCACCAAGAATGATGGTGAGAACAGTGGCCAGAAATGTAAATCCACAAGTGAGGGGAGGGGTCTCCTGTGTGTGTAGATGCACAACAAAAAGAAGGTGCTATATAGTCTGAAGACAGAAACTCCAAACTGGGAGTTTAGGAGAAAATTATGTCATGTGTATGGATTTACTCAGCAGTGATTGTAAAGGACATCTGGAAGGATAAGAATGTTATGGATAAAAACATTCAAAGTTCCAGTGATAGAAACATCATGGGTTTGAGGGTAAACTCACAACACTGAAGGAGGCTACAGTGTACCTAAGAAGTTGGTGTGATGTGAAAGGAGGCATCACTTACCAAAATGGATTCTTCCTCACATGGGGCGTAGTAACTATTAAACAGTTAGTGAGGAGAAATTAATTTCGATCCTCACCGAATACAGCACATACCAAAATAAATCCAGATATTAAAGAGAGAAACATTCTAAATAAGTACACAAGGAAAAAATAGAATTGAATATTTACCAGACCTCTAGCAGAGAGAGTATTTTTCAAGGTTAACAAGGCAATAGAAGAAATCACAAAGGAGAATAACAGATTTTACTCCATAAAACTCCTACAGTATAAAAAGGTAAAGAGGTGAAATTTGCAGTTAGTAGCTGCATTATATGTGTCTGTGGAGATTGCTAAGAAAATCCCTTCTCTTTTCTGGGCTCCCACCTGACCACATATTCTCTGTTCTAGGATGTGGGCACTCCCCTGCTGTCCTGGTGTTTGCATGTCTGCCCCTCCAGGACTCTCAGTTCCTAGAGAAAGTTGTTGTTTTCTTCATTTTTGTAGGCACTGTGTTTATGTTGTTAGACCCACTGCCCAAAACACTTCCCAGTAAATAGCCACAATAAGTCAGCAAATCAGTCCAAAAAGACATTAGGTAAGAGACAAATGCTTTCACTAATAATCTAATTCAAAATTTAAAATATAAAAATGTACTTAATAAATAAGTTGGAAGGGGAAAAAGTCATCATCCTCAATGCTAATTAAGGGAGTTTTGAAGCAAACAGTCTGCATGTAGAAATATAAAACCACAGGGATCTTGGAAAAGCAGTCTACAGTTTTATGAGAATCCAGACCTGTGAGGATGCTCAGATATTCTGCCCAGGATTTGTACTCTGGGGTATGCGTCTCAGAGAAATAATCCAGAGTGTGGAGAGCGACACATACACACGGGCCCAAAAAACTGGAATCCAGTTAACCTTCAGTGTTAAATTAGGTCAATTAATAGTAGTGAATGCTCTCAACCACATAGAATGCAGGGCAAAAAAGGAAAGAAGCTGTGAAGATCACATAGGCATTTAGAATACAAAATGTGAACCACAGCATGTGAGACAATGTGAAAAAAAACCTGTTAAACTGCCACTAGATTTTTTTTAAACTAGAAAAAAATACAATAGATATTTGGAATATTTTTGCTTAAACCTCTTGTACAAAGAAAGCGCTTGATAGCTGTTACCTTGCTGCTGTTTGTTTCTTCAACTCACCAATCATTCTTCTGTATACCTAGCACTGCACCAGGCGCTGAGGTTAGAGAAATAACTAAGACTGCGCCCTTCACCCCTGATGGCAGGATAGGCAAGGTTGGCACCATCGTCACAGCGGACCCTCATCGATGCCTTGGTGTGTGCCTGGCATGGTGTTGCAGCAGTTTATCACATTTAATCCTTACAGTGACCCTATGAAGATAGGTTTTGGGGTTTTTTGTTTCATTGGTTTTTTTGTTTGTTTTTTGAGACAGGGTCTTACTCTATTGCCCAGCCTGGAGTGCAGTGGCGCAATCATGGCTCACTGCAGCCTTGACCTCCCTGGGCTCAAGTGATCCTCCCGCCTCAACCTCCTGTGTAGCTGGGGATACAGGCATGTGCTACCATGCCCAACCAATTTTTTTGTAGAGATGCGGTTTTGCCGTGTTGCCTAGGCTGGTATTGTTCTTCTGGGCTCAAGTGATCTGCCTACCTCAGCCTCCCAAAATACTGAGATTACAAGCGTGAGCCACTGCTCCTGGTCTGGATTTTGTTTTTTGATCTGCACTTGGCAAATGATAAAATGGAGTCACAAAGAAGTGAATGTGATTAATTCTGTTTGGAGGCTCCGTAGCGAATCAGGGTCTGGGAGATGAGACCCAGTCCATGAACCAGACAAGGGCCTCAAGATGACTTGTGTTCAGTTGTCAGCAGCCCTGGAGTTCTGACTGTGCCAGGCATTCTGCCATGTGCTTTACCCACCGTGTCTCATGCTCAGAAGGCTTTTGGAGGAAGGCCCTGTTATGATTGGCGAATCTAGTCAGCAGGGCTGAGGAGCATGCTCCAGGCCACAGACCCACGAAGTAGCAGGCTCTCATGCATGGGTGTGGTGCCATACGGTGCCCAAGCTCTGAGCCACACCCTCAGTTGCATCGTCTGTAAAAGGAGTGAGGCACTGGGGTCGGTTAGATGCTTTAAATTTATGACCAATTGAAAAATTTTGGGGGGAGTTTTTTCAGGTTGGTTAAAAAATACCAGAGTTGTTATGAGGTCCCAGGTCCCAGGGGCACTGGCCAAGCTAATAGACAAGGGCATTGCCGGGTAAAAGATCTCACCAGAACCCTCTGTCTTTCAGATGTGATGGATGTAGCATGGTCTCCCCATGACGCCTGGCTAGCCTCGTGCAGCGTGGATAACACTGTCGTCATCTGGAATGCTGTAAAGTTCCCAGGTCTGGGGCCTCCTCTGACTGGTTAACAGCGAGCAGTACTTCTTGTCGGTTTCTGGAGCAAGGGTTGGGCTGTCTCCGTAGTCTTGGTGGCAACAGATGTATGACAGTGGCCTAGGATTTATGTGTTTTGTCAGTTTTTCTTTATCAGTAACATTTGCTTAAGCTTTAAAAAGAGATTAATGTTTAAGAAAAATAGTAACTGAGTGCTAGCATGGCATGCCACAGATCATGAGGGTAGTGGATGGGCAGCTGTTGTTGGGGACCCTGGTGCTCCCAAACCTGCTGTGTGCACCCCCACTACTGGGCTCTGGGCTCAGCTCAGTCACCATCTCCTCTGTGAAACCCTTGAGCAGATATTGGCTAACACAAACCCAGTTTTGCAAAAGATTGATTTTTCTAAAGTCACAACAGATGGCATAACCTGGCACAGTTATAACTAGTAAAATTCTTCTCATATTTCAGCTCTGTGTTTGAAGTATGCTTTCCTCATGGATCCAGGTCATTTTAACTCTTTGAAAGCCACCAGCATGTATGGGAACACAGTCTGGCTATGGAGAGGGCAACTTTAGAGACTGGAGTAGCATTTGGATTACAGATCTATATGGGGTACCATTGTACACACCTTTGTCTTTAGCCATAACTTACAAAAGACTGAGCCACTGTGTGGCCCTTTGAGCTGGTAGGCCTCCTTCTTATCAGGGAGCTACCAGGGAGGCTAACGTCAGAAGTGCTGGTGTCACAGCCCAGGAAGGGCAGCCATAGGCAGGGCCGCTAGATACAGATAAGACCTGGATCAGAACTGGCCCCTTGGTACCTGCCTCCTTGATGCAGTCATTTCTTTAATTGGCTTTTGCCTTGGTGGAGATCAAATAAGGAGGCCCTTCTGCTTCTGCCTGGTGTAGGGGCTGGCCAGGGCAGACTGCTGAGTCCCCTCTCTTGCATATCCATCCTATGGCCCATGGATTGAGGTCACATTTTCCCCATATGACACCTCTCCACATTCCTTTTTTCTTCACAGAAATTCTAGCTACTCTGAGAGGTCATTCTGGCTTGGTCAAAGGGTTGACATGGGACCCTGTTGGTAAATACATAGCCTCTCAAGCTGATGACCGCAGCCTAAAGGTGTGGAGGACGCTGGACTGGCAGTTGGAAACCAGCATCACTAAGCCTTTTGACGAGGTAAGTGGGGACAGCTCAGGGAGCTGAGCCCCAGCAACTGCCCCAGCCCCTTCCTGACTTCTGTGTGCAGAGAGGGAGCTGGCCGTGGGCCAGGCCACCTGGGGAATGCACCGAGTCTGGGAGCCTGAGCGGATTCACCAAGGCTCTCTGGGGTGGGACTCTGGCCATAAGAGTCAGATAATACAAAATCCTTCGTTTCTGAGATGCTGTTTAATTTCCAACTTTGAAATGAAAGGGATTTATAGTTTTGTTGTCTTTTGTTTGTTTTGTTTGGTGACGGAGTTTCGTTCTTGTTGCCCAGGCTAGAGTGCAGTGGCATGATCTTGGCTCACTGCAACCTCCGCCTCCCAAGTTCAAGCAATTCTTCTGCCTCAGCCTCCTGAGTAGCTGGTATTAGAGGCACCCACCACCACACCCAGCTAATTTTTGTATTTTTAATAGAGACGAGATTTCACCATGTTGGCCAGGCTGGTCTCGAACTCCTGACCTCAGGTGATCTACCCATCTCAGCTTCCCAAAGTGCTGGAATTACAGGCATGAGCCACTGCACCCGGCCCAGATTTATAGGTTTAAAGTTGAAGTGAACCTTAGAGATGTCTCCACATCATTCTGTCACCCAGCTCACTCCCACAGACATGGATAAAACTGCTGCTTATAGTGTGGAATTTACTCTGAGCCTCCCGCAGAGCAGCTTGTTGGGGGCCAGGGCAGGATGGAGGAGACTCTTGTGCCATCCCCTGTGCTTGTTGATATGCACCCTGCAGTTCAGGGGCCTTTTTTCCTGGCTGGAGTTAGCAGTACAGTTTGCACATTTGGAAATCAGACTGCAGTAGCTTCTCTAGTATTTTACTCTTCCTTTATTTGAGTTCTGATTTCAAATGGAATAAAAGCTCAAGATCACCATTGTTCATTACACATTTATTAAGTGTCTGTTGTATAGAAGGCAGTAACTGGGCACAGGAAGATAAAAGTGGATTGAGATGGAGTCTCTCCTCTTGAAGCTTAAAGCCGCTTAGGAAAGACAGGCATTCCCATTAGTTGCATGATGATGGAGTGGTCCAGAGTGCAGAAACAACCCAGGAGAGGTAAGTGCATCAGGGAAGACTTCACAGAGTGAGGGACACATGTGTGAAGGTTTGCAGGAAGAGCAGGCATTTGCCCACTGGTCAGGATGACTGCAAAAGTAAGGTGATAGTCATATGTTCACTTCTCCCCGCATAACACCAGCTCCTGGGCTAGGTATATGATTCCTGGTTTTTACCTTACTTAGTCTTGCCCTGAAGAGCTTTTGCTCCTTCTGGAGTTCCTCAGGGCTCTGACTGCCAGGCATTGGGGTCCCATGAGGTGGACTCCTAGGGACGGCTTTAAGAGTGTCGTGAGTACCAGCAGGAGCTGGTAGTACTCTTCAGCCTCCACTGGGTGGGCCCATCCTTCCGGGTAGTGAGTGGATCTGTGGCCTAGGCTGGGAGCTGAAGTGGGTGATTTCACTACACTCAGGCCCTAGTTTGTCCTGTCCTGCTCTGGGGCTGTGAGATCATGATCTTAACCCTTAAGTGTTTAGAACTGCCCTGGGCCCACCTTGAGCTTCAGGGAGCTGGCTCTGGACCCATGTCATCTCATTTTGCAGGAGGAATAATGTAAAGGGATGTTCTGCCTCAGTCCCCAGTCCAGGTTGGGGGAACAGTGCCTTTCTACTATTCCTTTTACAGTTTATAAGGACGTTACAAACCTCTTCTCCCTTGCAGGTGTCCTCACCACCCTTTGGGTGAGGCAACAGGCTCAAGAGAGTAGGTGGTGCCTCACATTCATTAGCTACATTACAGACACGGGCTTCTGCCAGCCTCCTGGGTTAAAAAGGGCTTTTTCCCCACCAGAGTATATCTTGAGGATGCTGTGCAGATGCCATGCTGTGGGTTAACAGGTGCTACACAGAAGAATTGGGTCAGTGGCCAGAGAGATTTGGCCCACACAGAGGCTATGGTTCAAACAGGTAGCCTTCCTGCAGATCTCCTCAGGGCCTACACTTCTGTACTGTATTTCTTTGTTCAGCTCCTCTGGGGGAGTGTAGGATGCTGCAGTTTCCAAATTCATTTCACAGAGCCCTTTTTGGTTGGGCCATCTGGAGACACAGAAACTGTCAGTGTAGCCAGAAGCTTGGGGTGCATGCTCCACCATCACACATTTATAAATGGCAGTTTAACTTTATCCTTGAGGCCAGAGTTTTGGTCACAACAGTGACCATGAGCTCCTTTCAAGTGCAGATGCTTCTTTCAGTGTGGAGGAACGACCCATGTGTTGCGGCTCAGCTGGTCACCTGATGGGCATTACCTAGTGTCTGCCCATGCCATGAACAACTCAGGCCCCACTGCCCAGATCATCGAACGGGAGGGATGGAAGACCAACATGGACTTTGTTGGGCACCGGAAAGCTGTGACTGTCGTGGTGAGTGCCCAGGGAACTGAAGGAAGATGGGCTCCAAGATTCAGCAAATACTAATTCTTGGTTTATTTTGAATAGTTATACTTAAATATTTAAAAACTAATTTTACAAAATAGAGTATGTACTTGGTTGATTTACTGGCAAACTTTACATGGTGAACATCACCAAAATCAGTCTTGGGTTAGGAACATTGTAGCTCCACATCAGCCTTTTACACACTCAGGTATGCTCAGGGGTGCCCAAGCACAGTGCTCCCCTCACCTGGCTCCAGTGATTACAGGTAGGATTCTGGTGCACCCACCAAGCACTGCACTTGTCCCCACACCTGGCAGCATCAACCACAGGTGCAAGGCCATGCCATAGATCACTGAGTTGGAAGCTGCTGTCAGTCCTTAGGCGTGAGAGTTGTCTGGCCACTTGTCTTATGCTTCTCCATGACTTTAATTAGTGTCCTGAGAGAGCCCAAGGCAAGCCATTAAGTAGTTGCAAATAATCTGTGAGAACCAGGATTTTCTCAACACTAGGCAGCCAATAAAATAAACAGATTGGTGGGCTAAGGTTGATATAAACTTAAGGATCATCCAAGACCCTGATGAAAATGGACTCATTTTTGCCTGTGTTTGAATAGATAATAAGTGTCTGCCGGATGCGGTGGCTCACGCCTGTAATCTCAGCACTTTGGGGAGGCTGAGATGGGCAGATCACGAGGTCAGGAATTCGAGACCAGCCTGACTAACATGGTGAAACCCCATCTCCACTAAAAATACAAAAATTAGCCGGGCGTGGTGTTGTGCGCCTGTAATCCCAGCTACTCAGGAGGCCGAGGCAAGAGAATCACTTGAACCCGGGAGGCGGAAGTTGCAGTGAGCCGAGATTGTGCCACCGCACTCCAGCCTGGGCAGTAGAGCAAGACTCCATCTCAAAAAAAAAAGATAATAAGTATCTATATATTGTACCTTAAAACACAAATTTTGTATAAATAAAATATTACATATTAAATTGTTTTGGAGTCCATGTAGGGTTTTGTTTGAACCAGAGCTTTGTTGCTAAAGTCTTTGGAAATCACTGCTTCATGGTTAGTGCTCTACATGATTCTCCCATGCAGCCCTCACAACCACTTCATTAGTGGCTCTGGGAGATCACACCGCCTGCCTATGGCTCACAGAGCTCCCAAGGCCCTGCAGCCTCATTGGTGTTGGAAACAGTAAGCCTAGGGACATGCCTCTGAGTTCCATATTCTCCAGTCTCTGTGCACCCCGACCATTCCTGCCTACCCTCTGGAATTAAAACATCTCTAGGCTACCTGACATCAGACTTTCAAGAACCCTCCTTCCTCTGCCCTCAGTTGTCCTAGGTTGGGGATTCCCAGAGCGCCCACCCGCTTTAATCCAGGAAGGTGGCTGGGAGCTGAGTGAGTGCTTTCATCCTTTCCAGAAAGAAAGACAGGTTACTCTGGGGGTAGCTCCCTGGACTAAGCAGCCAACCAGGCACCTTTGTGTGATGTTGCTGTGGCCACTGGCCCAGGGAGATCACAAATGACTCTCTGACTGAGCAGATCTCTGCTAGACGGTTTTGACTGAGCAACAAATGCAGTGAGGCAAGAAGAAATTCAGGAATTCAGAGGTTCACACCCCTCCTGCCCATCCCCTTGGCCTCCCTTAGGAGATAGGGAGTGAGAAGGTCTTTGTTTCTGAAGCCCCCTTGCAGGCTCAGCTTTTCTGCAGGTCCTAGGGCTGGCCCTGCCAGGCCAGAGGGAATTGAGAAGGCTAGTTTCACTAGCTCCCCATCCCCTCCACTTGGCATGCTTCAGAAATGGAGAGTTTGGTAGCGCTAGTTTCAAATCTGCATTTCCCAGCTTACTCATTTGGTGCCTCCGCATGTACTTTCTGACCTCCCTAAGCCTCCTTTCCATCATCAGCCAGATGCCTCATAGGTGGTCAGGAAGATGAAATGCATGCTCAGTGCCTGGACTCAGAGAATGTCTGTGGGAGACTCCTTTCAGCGGGCTGGGACTTGGGCACAGGGGACATGCCTCATGCTTGATTAATTATTTTTAACATTTGTTATTTGGCTTTAGAAATTCAACCCAAAAATCTTCAAAAAGAAGCAGAAGAATGGGAGTTCTGCCAAGCCCAGCTGCCCGTACTGCTGCTGCGCTGTTGGCAGCAAGGACCGCTCGCTTTCTGTCTGGGTGAGCCTGCTACCCTGAGCTTTTGTTGCAGGACGGGAGGTGTAGGTTGGCAAAGTAGCGAGTGGAGGAAAGAGACCTGCTTTGGGTGATGCTCAGAGTGCACTTCTACTCTGCACCCGGGGTCAGCCCCTCCTTGGAAGCTCACAGGCTCTCCTGCTCTCCCAGAAGGAAGTGCTGAAGACTGGGTCTGTGCCCAGCCAGGAGAGGCCACCTTGACCCCCAGCTAGACCAACTCTTGTGTCCAGGCTCGGGCAGCACCCTCAGTGGTCAATGCCATGAGCAGCATCTTGGGCTTGCTTCCCAAAATCTTTATATGGCCCGGCACGGTGGCTCACACCTGTAATCCCAGTACTTTGGGAGGCCGAGGCAGGCAGATCGCGAGGTCAGGAGATCGAGACCATCCTGGCTAACATGGTGAAAATACAAAAAATTAGCCAGGCTTGGTGGCGGGCACCTGTAGTCCCAGCTACTGAGGAGGCTGAGGCAGGAGAATGGCCTGAACCCGGGAGGCGGAGCTTGCAGTGAGCGGAGACCACACCACTGCACTCCAGCCTGGGCGACAGAGCGAGACTCCGTCTCAAAAAAAAAAAAAAAAAAAGAAAAATCTTTATTTAAAGTGTATTCACCTGAAAGGTACAGCTTGGTGAGTTGTTATACATGTTTACACACCAGTGTCATCACTCCCTAGAGCACTCCTTTTTGTCCCTTTGTCCCTCCCCAGTCAAGACCTTCCTCACCACCAAAGCAACCACACTAATGGCCTCTGTTATATTGATGAGTTTTGCCTGCCCTTGAACTTCATATAAATGCAATTGTGTGGTGCTTGCTTCTTTGTGTCTTCATTTCTTTTGCTTGGCACAGTGTTTTTGAGATTTGTGTATGTTGCTGCACTTAACAATATTTTATTCCTTATAATTTCGGTGTAGCATTCCACTGTATGAATACACCACAATTTGTTTATACAGTCTCCTGTTGATGGACATTAAGGTTGTTCCAGTTCTGAGATACTATGACTAAAGCTGATGTGAACATTCTTGTATAAGTCTTTATGTGGACATATGTTTTCATTTATTTGTGAGTACATACCTACGAGTAGAATGCTAAAATTAAAGAAAAAAAAAAAAGATAGTACCAGGTGTCAGCAAGGACATGATAAGCTGGAACTGATACAGGTGTTGCTGACAGGTGTTTATGCTGACACGAGCACTTGGGAAAACTGTTTGGCAGTTTCTACCACAGCTAGGCATATGACCTGGAGCACTTCCACTCCTAGGCATATAACCAAGACAGATAAGTGCTTATGTCAACAGAAAAAGACACACAGAAAGCTGACGCCTCCATTTGTTAGACTATTTCACCCCTGGGTGATGCTGTGATGGGTAAGATTATGAGCCTGGTGCTCCTCACTCACTGCATCCCCTGAGAGGAGGTGATGTCTTCAGCTTCTTTTTTTTTTGAGACGGAGTCTCCCTCTATTGCCCAGCAGGCCGGAGTGCAGTGGCACGATCTTGGCTTCTTGGCTCACTGCAGCCTCCGCCTCCCAGGTTCAAGCGATTCTCCTGCCTCAGCCTCCTGAATAGCTGGGATTACAGACCACCACACCCGGTTAATTTTTTTGTAATTTTAGTAAAGATGGGGTTTCACCATGTTGTCCAGGCTGGTCACAAACTCCTGACCTCAGGTGATCCACCTGCCTCGGCCTCCCAAAGTGCTGGGCTTACAGGTGTGAGCCACCACACCCAGCCCGATGTGTCTTCAGTTTCATTGTTCCTCTCACCTTCCTAACTCAGTGCCCTCCACAGAGTAGGTTCTCAGCAGATATGTTCAATGGTAGTTGGCGAGTGAGAACCCAAGAGTAAGAACTGTGGCCATTTCTAAGTGAGAGCTCTTGAAGGGTTAAGTTTCTCACTGCCAGTGACTGGTGTGCTGTGACCTGACTGTGTGGTGAGAGACACCTCTACATGCAGTGCAGGGAGCAGTCTTGCTGCTGAGCATCAAGGTGCCAATATATTTAAAGTTTGATAAAGCAAAGTGCATTAAATTTCTTTTTTTCGTTTTGTAAAAAAGTGTCCCTATAAGCAGAGCAAGTTTGAAGTGTTCTGGGTTTGGAGGTTATCCTCTGGCTGCATTTATTAGTTTGTTATAGAGAAATCTATTACTGTGTGCGTTGTGATTTTTTTTCTTTTTTTAGGCCCAGTATTCACTTAACACCCATTCTGGAACCTGAACCACAGTACCACAGAGAGCCGTTCAGGGGACCTTCCCTGTTTCCTCCCAGCCAGAGGCCCTGTTTGTGGTGCTGCAGCCAAAACATCACTGACTGTGATGCCCATATTTCTTAGAATGCTCAGGTCAGGCAGTCACACAGCCTGCAGATTTCTGAGGGGTCTGTAGGCACATTTATGGGAGGAGGGACAAGGCAGCTTTTTCTAGAAGTGGAATTAAGGTGGAGGCAAGATTCTTAATGTGGGTTCCAGATAGTTCAGACTTCAGCCCCCTCTCCAGCACTAGGGTAGACACAGCTTCTCCTTCCCCACACAGCAGTCTCAGGCTGCATTGGGACGCTCAGCCCCACAGCCTCCCAGAAGCTACAGCAGCACCTGTGGGAGCCCACCATCCTGTGAGGAAGTGTGTTTCTTCCCAGCCCATCATCCTGCAGCTCAGGGCTAGCCAGCAGGGTAGCCAGGCACTTGTGCACAAGAGGAAGAGCCTACCATAGCTGTGGGAATGTGGAGTCAGCAAGTATGCCAGCAATTGAGTGACTCAATAGAGAATATGCACACAGTGCATGCTACGCAGTCATCCAAAAGAGACTTTTATAGGATATTTAATGACATACTTATTGTGTGTTAAATGAAAAAGCAGACACAACCATGAAGAATAAAATAAATTTGAATAAAATAAATTCTTTCTTTGAAGAATAAAATATTTGCACAAAATAGAAGAAAATAATTCATCAAAGTATTAATAGTCGGTAACTGGGCCTAGATTAAGGACCCAGGTGTGTATTTCTGTACTACCTGCACATAGTGTAGAATGAGCCTTGGATAAATGTGTACCAGAGTCCCTTGGGCCCAGGGAAAATGTGTTGTGTTCTCTCTCAGGGTGCTTTATCCCCTGTCTAGGATTTGCTATCCTGTCTCCTGCTCCATAGACTCTCTCAGAGGTCCACTCTGGGGCTGTCCCTCTGCTCCGACCATAGTCCTTCAGAAACCCACTCCCACTCTGCCTTCTCCATTGCTAGTTGTCTGTGTATAAAGCTATTTCCTCTGTCAGACCACAGCAAGCCCTGGAGGCAGGGTCCACTCTAGGTAGCATGCACATTTTTGGCAGGCTTTGGTACCCACAGTTTGGGATCTCTGCAGCTATAGTTTGAATAGAGTTGAAGATGCCTTAAATATCAGCAGCTGCTCTGACCAAAGCTTCTAGGTTGGTTATGTTAACTGAGCTGAATACAGAAGGGAATTTTAGTAATTTCATTAACCTTGGCTGTGTCTTTCCTTCCAGCTCACATGTCTAAAACGGCCGTTGGTGGTCATCCATGAACTGTTTGACAAATCCATCATGGATATTTCCTGGTAAGGTGGATTCTAGTTACAAGAATAGGTTAAGAAAGGAGACGCCACACGTTGGAACGTGAGGCCTCCTGGATGTGACTAGGGTCACGTGGCCAGCGACCCCTCCCCAGGTGTCATAGTGGCCCAGACCAAGAGTGCTGTTTGCACATGTTTTGGAAACTGGCAGCAATGTACCTGCTGCTGTGAGAATGTCCTGCCTGTGCAGGATTTGCTACTGGAAAATGCCTTTTCAGGATTTGTCTAAGACGAAGAGAATGACGTGATCCTAGTGGGTTCTACTTTACTCCGTCATTGCATGAACCAAAGTCAGAAGCACACTTTCTGCTTCTCAGTGACCTGATTTATATGTATTCTTTGTCAAGTTTTTTTTTTTTATTTTAATAGTTTCAAAAGTAAGATAAGTAAAATTGAAAATTCTTACAGAACATATGGTAAGGGATACTTTGTACACCTGCTTAGAACTAAAGAACACCAGGGCCCTTTGGGACACAATTATCGCCCCCCGCACCCCCACCCTCAGGCCACAGAAGGGAACCAGGAGTTTCCAACATCTCCCTAGAACACTGCTGACCATCCTCACAGGCCAGCTACTATGGCATATGTGTCTGCCTGGGGCTCTTGCTACCAGGCTGCTGATGGCCATGTCTTTCAGGACTCTGAATGGGCTGGGCATCTTGGTGTGCTCTATGGATGGCTCTGTGGCATTCCTCGATTTCTCCCAGGATGAGCTTGGCGATCCCCTGAGCGAGGAGGAGAAGGTAGGCTGACGGCCCTTGTGCTGCTGGGTGCTCTGTGACCATAAGCACAATAGCTCTGAGAGACCCCTTTGACTGCACCCTCTTCTTGTGGGATTCACAGACACTTCATTTCTTAACATGTAATGGGATATTTGTCTTTTATGTCTTGTAATCCTTCTTTACAAAATAGATCAATTAAAAAACGAGTTCCCATTTCAGAAATAAGTCCTGGAGTTAAGAGTAGAACTATTTTAGGCATCTCTTCTTGAGCTGATGATAGGCCATCCACTGGGAGGTTTTTGCTCTGGGAAAGAGCTGAAGTGACTCCTCAGGGGCCCCTGCTCATGTCATTTTCCCCTTCATGGTAGTAATATTGGTCATTTCTTAGAACGTATTGTCTGCCAGGCTCTGAGAATGTGTTTTGCATATATGATTTCATTTAAATTGCACAAAACCCTTCAAGGCAGGGCTCATACATTTCGTGGATATGGAAACTAAGCCTCAGAAAATAGCATGGCTCTTTGCCCAGACTGTGTGTGACCCTTAGGTCAGAAGAGGGAACCAGGCCTGCTGCCTCTGGGCCAGGCCACCTCCCCTCTGTGCTCTGCCAGGGTGATGGGGTCTCTGTGTCCTTCTTCCAGGCTTTGAGAAAAATCCTTCTTCACTTACCATAGGATTAGAAACCTGCCCCTGCTTGGTAGGATGTGTGTATGTGTCCGAAGGGAGCTCTGTGAAAGCCCATAGCAGGCTGGCAGCTCTCTCAAATGACCTTATTTGCTGGTGGAAGCTTCCTCTTAACCTATAGTGTGACCTCCCCACTAAAATGTGAACCCCTTTGGGGGAGAGGTCTGCCTTAGTGACTGCACTTAGAATGGGTCCTGCCACCCCATCATTTTTCCATGAAGGAATGAGTATCTCAGTGGCCTCAGGTCGTCCTCCAATCTTGTCACTGTCATCAGGTACCTGGGGATCACTATGCACTCCCTTGGAGTCACTCTGGGAGCCTAATAACCCATCTGCTTACCATTTCCCAAGTCACAGGCTAGGACTCCATGTTGGAGGAACACCAGGGAAACCCTGGCCAAACCCTGAATTCTGTCTCGAGATTCCAGGGGATAGACTCAGGAGAGAAGGGCAGGAGCCAAGATGGCAAGAGAAGGAGGTTCCTGGCCACATTCAAGCCCTGCAGGAGCGAGTCCCGAGGCACCTCTCTTGGAATGCTGCCTCTCAACCCATACTCTGGTGTAAAGCAGATGTCCTGTTAACCATAGTCCCTGTTCTTGGGCAGAATCCCATGTTGGACATTTGCACATCCCATGGAAGTCTGTTCCTCATGCACTTTCATGTACAGCAGTTACTACAGTGTGCTGGGGACACCATCTCTGCTCTCATGAGGCTTCTGTCTAGCTTGTTAGGGGACAAGACTACGAGGGCCTAGGAGGAGGGGAGTATGATGACATACTAGGAGGGGTAGGAGTAAAAGAGGCTCCCCATCTCTGCTGTGCCAGGCCTTCCCATACTCTTAGAGACACTGTAAGCAGGCCAGTGGGGACTTCCAACCATAGGGCTGATGGCTGCAAATGAGCTGTGAAAGTAGACCCTTGTTCTAGGATCTGATTCCCAAATGCATTTGGGTCCTTAAGAGCCTTAAGTTAGCACCTTGAGTATCTTCCTTTCCATTGAAGCACTGTGGTTTGTTATTTGTTCTGCACCAGACTGTGGGGCAGTGTTGTCTTGTTGGCTCTCTCATTTACTGTCATCCCAGCTACAGATACAAGGGAGGCCATAAACATTGAGGGAAAACATGAGACATCAAAAGAGCTGTCGAATGAGGGACAGGCAGAATAGGGTGGGAGGCGATGGGGAGTTGACCTTGGGTCCCTTCTCCGCTCAGAGCCAGGAGAGCCCTGCTGTGGTTTGCCTGCTGGTGGGCAGCACTGGCCACACTGATGCTCACTCTGGCATGTTTTGCCTCTCTTGCTTCCCCAGAGCCGCATTCACCAGTCCACCTATGGCAAGAGCCTGGCCATCATGACCGAGGCCCAGCTCTCCACAGCCGTCATTGAGAACCCCGAGATGCTCAAGTACCAACGGAGGCAGCAGCAGCAGCAGCTGGACCAGAAGAGTGCCGCAACCAGGGAGATGGGCTCAGCCACCTCAGTCGCAGGTGTCGTCAATGGGGAGAGTCTTGAAGATATCAGGAAGGTGAGAGCCCTGCCTGATGGCACTAAAGACATGGACATATGCCCAGGGACAGGGTGAAGGGCAGACACCAGTGGTGGGAAGGAAGAGATTTTTGTAGTTTGGCATGGGATCCATGGGTTAGCCAGCCTCAGGCCTGTTGGCCCCTTGCCAACTGCTGCATGGGGCCTGGATCCCCTTTATCAAAGACCTTATCCCCAGGAGCCCAGAGGAGGTCATCTCTTGTAAGAACTTACAAACTTTATCCTGCTGGCCTTTCTAGGAAATCCTAGATGCTAACAACAGTGGATTTCGGTCTCTGCCCTTAGGAGACTTCTGTAGGTTCCCCTTCTTCATCTGGAAGCCATGTTTGATGAGAAGGGGTTGGAAATGGGGCAGGAAAAGGGTAGGGAATGTTATTGCTTTGGGAGTTAAAACCATCTCCAGGAGCCTATGTAGGCTGACAAACCTCCTCCAGGCAATTCAGATATAAAGAATGAGAGAAAACCCCTAGTTACGAGCTTTCTGTGGAAGGAAGGATTCTATTTTGAAAGTCAGTTTGAAAATCCCTACCTCAGGCCAGGCACGGCAGCTCACGCCTGTAATCCCAGCACTTTGGGAGGCTGAGGCGGGTAGATCGCTTGAGGTCAGGAGTTCCAGACCAGCCTGGCCAACATGATGAAACCCTGTCTGTACTTAAAAAAAAAACAAAAACAAAAACAAAAATTAGCAGCCGGGTGTGGTGGTGCATGCCTGTAATCCCAGCTACATGGGAGGCTGAACAGGAGACTTGCTTAAACCCAGGAGGTGGAGGTTGCAGTATGCCGAGACTGCACTACTGTACTCCAGCCTGGGCAACTGAGTGAGATTCTGTCTCCAAAAAAAAAAAAAAAAAAAAAAAAGGAAAGAAAATCCCTAGCTCAGTGACAGACGTGTGGTTCATGAGTGCAGGGCTCAGTCCTTTAGCCCTTTCCATGGCTGTTGTGTGGGGCGACTAGTGTGGCATGCACCCACTGCTTGTTCTTTGCTTAGGTGTCTTGTTTAGTTGTACCAGAAGGGCTTAGAAGGAGAATTTAGAATACATTTCCTTAGAAGCCTTATTATTTTTAAACCTACTGTGTTGAGGTATAATTGACATATAAAAAGTTATACATACTTAATGTATACAAATTAATGATAAGCCAGACACAGAAGGACAAATACTGCATGATACCTCTTTTTTTTTTTTCTGAGATGGAGTGTCGCTGTCACCAGGCTGGAGTGCAGTGATGCAATCTTGGCTCACTGCAACCTCCGGCTCCCTGGTTCAAGCGATTCTCCTGCCTCAGCCTCCCAAGTAGTTGGGATTACAGGCACACACCACCACACCCAGCTAATTTTTGTATTTTTAGTAGAGACGGGGTTTCACCATGTTGGCCAGTATGGTCTCAATCTCCTGACCTCGTGATCCGCCCACCTTGGCCTCCACAAAATGCTGGGATTACAGGCATGAGCCACCACGCCTGGCCTGCATGATACCTCTTGTATGAGGAATCTAAAATAGTCAAACTCACAGAGGCAAAGAATAGAATGGTGAATACTGGGGTCAGAGGAAAATGAGAGTTATTAGCCAAAGGGTATAAGGTTTAAGTTATAGAAGATGAATAAGTCCTAGAGATGTCCCCTACAGCAGAGTGCCTACAGTTCACAATATGATATTGCATACTTAAAACTTTGCTAAGCAGGTAGATCTTATGCTCAGTGTTCTTATCACCAGGAAAAAAATAGACTTTATTTTTTAATATTTGGAAATAGTTGGCAGAAACTTTTGCATTTATTTATGTAACCCCGCTTTGCCAGAATCTTCTGAAGAAACAAGTTGAGACTCGGACGGCAGATGGTCGGAGAAGAATCACGCCTCTCTGCATAGCACAGCTGGACACTGGGTACTGGTTCATTCCCCTTTCATGATCTTATCTGGTGAGATCTTCCTGTCTTCTTTCAGCAGTTAACACTTTCACGGTGAGGATCTTCATAGGCCCTTCACAACCTGACTGGTAGAACGTGCAAGCAAGGAAGTCGAGCTCAGCTTCCCACAGTCTCAAAGCCCATACTCCTCCTGGAGCCCTTGTGCGCACCTGAATCATGTGGTGGGTGGTAGTGCTAAGGCAGCCAGCACATCTGCTGCACTTTACTGTTGCCAGGGCACCAGAGGACGCACAGGGAAGGCAGTCGGTCAGGCTGATTTTTTTTTTCTTTTTTTTCTTTCATAAAGTTATTTTTATGATTATGAAAGGTATATATACACATGGTTAAATTTAGAAAATAGTAAAAGCCCAAAGAAGACAAAAACATTATCCATAATCAGATACAGTCACTGTTAACATTTTGATATCTGTATTTCCAGTCTTTTTTACCCCACTCATTACTGTTTCTTGCCTATTCATCCATTTTAATAACTAGTCCTCTGAGGCATTTACTGTCTGATTATCCAGGTTCCTGTCGAAGGATTTGCTTAGCCAGTTCACTGTGGACTTGTATTGTGTCCAGTTTCTCATGATTATAGATGAGTCTTTGAGCTCACCTGTGATTCTCTCAGGATAACTTCTAGAAGTGGAATTACTGGGCAGAGGGTAGAGCTCTGAAACACATTTTCCTGTTGGGGACAGAGACGGGGAGGAGACTCATTCACCACTTGCTGTTGTCCCAGTGTATATAGTGAGGATTGTTTTTGAATTGGTTATTCTTCCCAAAATGATGTGTGTTGATTCAATAAAAAAGAAAGAAAAATGATAAGGCCCTGTGTAAAAGAAATAGACCCCCACTGTCAAGGCAGTTCACTCTGGGTTTATTCTCATTCCGCCTATCTGCTCAGGGCATTTGTAAGCCCTTCATAGAGACCACACACTTCAGGCCTCTGCATTTTGCAGTTGTCCATCCACGAGCTATTCCACATCTTCCTTGGTGTCTGAAGAAACCTTCTCTTGTACAGTGTACAGATCCAGTCTTCTCATGTTAGATGTGCAGGCTCTGAGGTCCCCGCGAGTAGAGCCCGAACCAGGTCTGCTGACTCCCCACAGAGCACTCATTTTCTTTTGACTAAGTCTTTTTCCTATTGTGACCCTATAGGTGATAATGCCCCTACCTACCTTTTACTAGGACCAAGTGAGACCCAGTGTGTGGTTGAGCTCTGAGCACACTGGGCCTGTGGGATGGGGAGGTGGGGGTGTTGATGGTGGCACTTTGTTCTGTGGATCCTTCCAGGCCTTACCTGGTGAGAAGGTGTAGGTCTGGTCTGGGGCCAACTTTCTGACATAGGATGCATATTTCTGGCACCAGGACCTGATTCCTTTGGTATTAAAAGCTTTTTGCCCTCCCGATTCCCACATTCTAACAAACAAGTAGCAACAGAATAGGTCCTTATTAGCTTAGCTAATCAAGAAAGAAAAGAAAAAGCATAAATATGCAAAGTAGGTATAAGTGAGAAATAATAGCAGACAAATCAAAAAGATGAGAGACTTCTTTGCTGAACTCTGTGCAAATAAATTTGCACAGAAAATGGATGGTTTTTGAAGAAAATAAAATTACTAAAAGTGAAAAATTATTGTGGAAGAAATAGAGGACAAAGTTAACCCCACCAAAGCCACCAAACTAAGATGGCTTCACAGGGAAACTTAAGGAACTTTTCAGGAACAGGTAACTCAGGTAACCATTAACACCATTTTAAATATTCTAGTGCATGGAGAAGAAATGTGCAAATTTTTATTTTGAAATGAACATAATATTTATATCAAAATCTTACAAAGATAAAACATAATAAATTCAAGATCACTCTCATTTCTGAACGTCAATGCAAAATCTAAGTGAAATAGTAACAGAACCTTACTGCTTGTTAAAGGCTAATATACCATGACCAAGTGAGGTTTGTTTCGGGAAAGTAAGGAGGTTCAAATTTTAGGTAACTATTTAGTTCTACATATCAGTAGACCAAAAGAAAAAAAATTATATGATCTCTTTCATTGATGCTTAAGAGGCATTTTGGTAAAATTCAACGTAATTTTTAAAACTCAGTTAAATGGGAGTAGGTGGATGCTTCCTTAACTCGATAAATTATCTTATTTCAAATTAAGTTCAAAAACTGAACAAATGCCTACTCTTGCAACTATAATTTAACATTGTTCTATAGGTCCTAGCCCATGTAGTTAGTCAAAGGAAAGAACAAATTGGAAAGGTTAATTATTTAAGGATGATATGGTTTATAACAGAATCAACTGGAAAAGCTGCCACAGGCAATGAAAGAAGATAGTCAGGTGGCTGGATACAATCAACATGAAGTCAGGTAGCACCAACTACCCTCAGAGCGCATAAAGAAATAAGTCACATTCACAAATAGAATAACTAGGATGCAACCAGAGATGTAGACCTTAATGAAGAAAAAATTAAAAACCCTACGGAGAGACTTCAAAGAAAACTCAAAGAAATAACTAGAAATTCATACCATTGATTAGCTAGGATGGCATCATAAAGATGTCAGCTCTCCTGTAGCCTATAAATTTAACCAGTACAAATAACCATAGGAATTTTTGGAATCAGACAAGGTAACTATAAAGTTATGTGGAAAACTCGGCTGGGCACAGTGGCTTACACCTGTAATCCCAGCACTTTGGGAGGCCAAGGCAGGCAGATACCTGAGGTCAGGAGTTTGAGACCAGCCTGGCCAACATGGTGAAACCCCGTCTCTACTAAAAATATAAAAATTAGCTGGGAGTGGTGGCGTGCCTGTAGTCCCAGCTACTCAGAGGCTGAGGCAGGAGAATTGCTTGAACCTGGGAGGTTGCAGTGAGCCAAGATCGTGCCACTACACTCCAGCCTGGGTGACAGAGTGAGACTTTGTATCAAATAAATAAATAAATAAAATAAAGTTATGTGGAAAAATAAATAAAAATGGCCGAAATATTTCTGAAAAAGAAGATTAATCAGGGAAGACTAGCCCCACCAGAAGTTAAAACTTAAAGGCTGTCATACTCAAAACAGTGAGATACTGACACATGAATACATAGTGCAGTGGAATATGATAGAATATCAGAAAATAGGCCCGAGTATTTATGGGAATTTTAAAGGTACCTTTTCACATCAGTGATAAAACATTAGCTAATTCGGTAAATGGAAGACAGGACTACATGCCCCCCCACCCCACCGCTAGAAACAATATTGGGTCCCAACCTCACAATTTATTACGTACATTCTAAACAGCTTAGAGTTCGTTTAACTTTTTGTTGTTTAAAATATTTTCGTCCAAAATTTTAGAAGATTCCCCTGAAGATTATTTTTTATAATCTCAGAGGTCAAAAAATTATTTTCTGTAAGTGACAATTTAGAGTACACAAAAATTTAAAAATTTTAGTGCATTTGAAAGATAGATTGGCTGGGCGTGGTGGCTCACACCTGTAATCCCAGCACTTTGGGAGGCCGAGGCAGGCAGATACAAGGTCGAGAGATGGAGACCATCCTGGCCAACATGGTGAAACCCCGTCTCTACTAAAAAATTCAAAAACTAGCTGGGCGTGGTGGCGCGCCCCTGTAGTCCCAGCTACTTGGGAGACTGAGGCAGAAGAGTCGCTTAAACCTGGGAGGCAGAGGTTGCAGTGAGCCGAGATTGCATCACCGCACTCCAGCCTGGTGACAGAGCAAGACTCCATCTCAAAAAATAAAAAATAAAATAAAAAAGGCCATAAATAGTTGAAGCACAATATCCCAGAGAAAATATTTCCTACCATATAAGGAATGTTTTTTTAATATGTAAATAGTTTTTACAAGTCAGTAATAAAGGCCAATAACAAAACAGTAGACAAAGCATATGAACATGCAGTTCACAAAAAGAAGGAAGTCAAGTATTTCTTTTTTTTTTTAATTGAGGTGAAGTCTGACTCTTGCCCAGGCTAGAGTGCAGTGGTGTGATCTCAACTCACTGCAGCCTCTGCCTCCCAGATTCAAGAGATTCTCCTGCCACAGCCTCCCAAGTATCTGTGATTACAGGTGTCCACCACCATGCCCGGCTAATTTTTGTGTTTTTAGTGGAGACAGGGGGTTTCACCATGTTGGCCAGGCTGGTCACGAACTCTTGACCTCAAGTGATCCACCTGCCTCGGCCTGCCAAAGTGCTGGGATCACAGGCATGAACCACTGCATCTGGCCGGAAATCAAGTATTTCTATTTTGAAAAAATGTCGGCTGGGCATGGTGGCTCATTCCTGTAATCCCAGCACTTTGGGAGGCCAAGACGGACGGATCACAAGGTCAGGGGATTGAGACCATCCTGGCTAACACGGTGAACCCCTGTTTCTACTAAAAATGCAAAAAATTAGCCGGGCATAGTGGCGGGCTACTTGGGAGGCTGAGGCAGGAGAATGGCATGAACCCTTGAGGTGGAGCGTGCAGTGAGCCGAGATCACACCACTGCATTCCAGCCTGGGTGACAAGTGAGACTCCATCTCAAAAAAAAAGAAAAAGAAAAAATGTCAACATCACTCATATCAAAATTAAAGTAAGATACCATTTTTCTTCTGTCAGATTGTTAAGTGTCAAGAAATTTGATAAAAGTGTTACTAAGCACCTATGTGGAGAAATAGGTGTTCTCATACATGGCTTATAATTTAAACCTCTGAGGAGGGCACTTTAGAAATATTTATTCCAAATCATCAGTGAACATTTCATTTGCTGCTACAATTCCACTTCTAAGAATTTATCCCATGTATTATGTGAATCTTAGGTATAATGACAATTGTTAGAATTTCATAATTCTTTGAGCAGCTAATGTGTGTTCTAAGAGTGTCCTACACCAACTACTTTAGTCCTGACAGCAACCCCATGGGGGGAGTCCTGACACTTTGTATTTTGCAGACATGACTGGAGGCACAAGAGTAGTTGGAGCAAGTCACAAGCTTGCAAATGGCAGAGGAGTCAGACCTGGCTGTCCCAGAATCCTCAGTTTTGACACTGCAATACCTTGCGTCCTGGTGTAGCAGCATCTGTTATAGAAAAAGCCGGAGACAGTCTTGTGGTCCCTCAGTAGAGGCTGGGTTAGATATATTATGGCACACCCACCTAGTGGCATGCCCCATGGCCCTTCATAAAAGGGAGGCCCTTTCTGTATTGCTGCATTTCTTTCCTCCTAAGACGTGTTTGCACAGTTTAACACCTCTGAGATTTGGGTGTGTTGTACAATCAATGGCATCTGACAATTAGTAGCATTATTTTCTTTCTTAGTAGTACATATAGAACCGTAAATCCTAGATTCAATTAAATATATAGTATATTAAGTGGCTTTAATTTTCTTTTTACTTTTCTATAACTGCAGATTTTCTGTCGTGAAAACCTACTGCCTTTGGACCTAGAAAAAAGTTATTTGAATGTATAAAGTACTGGATGTGGCACCTGACTTTCAAGGCTGACTTTTGTTCTTACTTGATGACAGGGACTTCTCCACGGCATTCTTTAACAGCATCCCCCTCTCGGGGTCCTTGGCGGGCACCATGCTCTCTTCTCATAGCAGTCCACAGCTACTGCCACTGGACTCCAGTACCCCTAACTCCTTCGGCGCCTCGAAGCCTTGCACAGAGCCTGTGGTGGCTGCCAGTGCCAGACCTGCAGGCGATTCTGTCAATAAAGACAGGTTAGTGGGTGCCAAGGCTTGTTCCTGTCGCTGGGGAAAGTTCAGGTTTGCACATGGTTTTGAGGACACAGAATTTTATTCTGTTTGCACTTTGTGGCCCCTCCAATGAAAAAAGAAGGAAAAAGTGCTTGATTTGAATTGGGGACTTCTCAGAGGGGAGGACTTGTTCAGTGAGTCTCTGATGCACAGGACCATGAGGATTTCACAAAGAGTGTATCAAGGCTGACCAAGGGTCAGGCTGCTAAGGGTGGGAGCTATCAGTGGAATGCTACATGCTGCAGAGTCAGCCCCACCTGGCAGCTCTACACTGGAGGTCCTTCACATTTCTGGGGCCTCAGCCTCCACTTCAATCTGCCGAGCACATCACAGAGCATCCATCCTAGGCACGGTGCTCCTGTGGAAAGGCACAGACTCCCCTCATACTCTCAGAATTATATTCACTCACAAAGCCTGTGTCTTCATCCATCTTTACTTGGAAACCAAATTAGAAATCTGAACCAGGCAAGCACAAATGAAAGCCAGGAGTGAATGTTTGCTCAGCACCTGCTCTAGGTTACATACCCTGCTAGGCCCCAGGCATCGCAAGGGCTTAATTGGTGGGTCCTCATCCTCAGGGAGTGTGTAGGCTGGTAGGGGAGAGGCAGCCACAGGGTTGCAGGTGGCCCCTCAGGTCCCCTGGGTAGAAATGGCTAGCCATCCAAAGAGGGGCTGGTATCTCAGGGTCAGGGAGGTGCCTCAGAGGGTACCCTCCACAGGGCTCATACAGGCCTACCAGGGGATGAGGTCTGGGTGTTAGGGGCAGCAGCCCCCCAGTCCCCTCAGGAAGGCCAAGAAGAGGGAGAAGGCCAAGGTGTCTGTGCTGGATCAGGTAGTCTGGGCTTTTCCCCAGAGTGGAGACTTAGAAGGCTTTGAGACCTCCATTTTAGGAAAGTGACTCTATTAGGTGGTGGTGCCCCAAATTGGCCACTCCCTGGCACATACAGCTGATACCATCAGAGCGATTCTCTGTTGGTGGAATGGAGTCTTGTGTTACTGCAGCCCCCTGCTTCTGGGATACAGCTGATACCGTTAGAGCAATTCTCCATTGGTGGAATGGAGTCTTGTGTTACTGCAGCCTCCTACTACTGTGTGCTAGCACCATGGCTGTGGAGGCATGCCCAAACATTAGGTCACTGTCCTGGGGGGATCCTGAGAGGGTAGGAAGAAAAGACTGAGCAGCAAGACCAGTGAGGAAGCAAAGCATGCCAGGAAGAAGGGGGCCTGGGAAGGACAGACCATGCCAGATCTGAGAACTGCTTCGGGGATGGCCCATTCTAGTGGCCACAGGTCATGGAGGAGAAAAATGGGGCTGCCCAGGCATGTGGTGTGGTGTCTGGGCAGGTGGGAGTGGAAGTTCGCCTGGGTGTGCTCAGGAGGAGGCACAGTGGCCATGGTCCCAAAGCATGTTATGTGGGCTTGGACATGAAGGATGGACCGGGCAGGCTTCTGCCTGGCCTCTCCTTTCTCTGTGGAATAGAAGACGAAAGCTGTGTGATGAGCACTTGGAGCATAATGCCAAGAATGTGACACTGTCACAGGGAGATATGGGAGGGGCCACCCAGGATGGAGGATGCCTGACTAAGGGTAAAGGCCAGGAGCAGACCATGGCTTCAGCACCCCAGGTGCAGGCTTATCTCATGAGACGCATTGTTGAAGTGGGAAAGGTGGGCGGTTGGAGTGGTTTGGGGTAGAGGTGCTGTATTTAAGTTTTGGAGATAGGGCAGTATGACTAGAGAAAAGGGCTGTAAGAACCATGTTCTAGGCCTCATGCTTCACGCAGAAGCTCTCAGAACAGTGCAAAGGGGGGAAATGTGAATGCATTTGCTCACAACCTTCTCGGTGTCCATAATTTTAACACATGAAATTTTTAAAGAAATGGGAGTAGTAGATTGTATCTTGAAATTTTTTGTGTTTATGGAAGTTTGATGTTTGTGCCTTTTTTAGTAGGCTCCAAATAATGCAAATACTAGACCTCCAGATCCTTTCAGGATTGCGCTTGACATGCCTCCCCTCTTCTTCACCCCAGTATGAATGCTACCTCTACTCCTGCTGCATTGTCACCTTCTGTGTTAACGACCCCGTCCAAGATCGAACCCATGAAAGCATTTGACTCCCGGTTCACAGAGCGGTCCAAAGCCACGCCAGGTGCTCCTGCCCTGACCAGCGTGACTCCAACAGCCGTGGAAAGGTAGGTGGTAGCTGCAGGACCCTGAAGGACCAGGGAGGGTGCAGGCATGGGTCAACAGCACAGTGGCAGTGTTTCCACCAAGCAACATGCCTTCCTGTTGGGGAAAAGACTCTAGCCGCTCAATACATGGGAGCAAGACTGCAGAGCCCTTAGTGAGCCACCAGGAGAAAGAGGTGGCTCCTTCAAGTGGGAGGGTGGCTGGAAGGAGCTGTGGGGAGGACACAGCAAAAGAACCACACTGGCAAAGGCACAAGGATTGGTCAGTGCAGAGGCTGGACTAAGAATAACGGTGTTTGTATAGAGCCCAGAGTTTGCCCAGAAGAGAGTGTGAGATTAGTTGTAGAGGTGAAGGCTCTGATATTGATACATCATGGAAGTGATGGCCTTCCACTCAGAAACTGACCAGAGGTAGACAGCTACAATAAAAATGATGTAGGTGAGGTATTTATCAGATTGGCTTCTGAGCTTTTGTGGACACTATGCTGCTTGTCCATTCTCTGGGTCTCCCCTCAAACACAGCTGTGACATCATGCAGGCTGTAGTTCTTTATTTCTTGGAGTTTTGCAGTAGTGCATCCTCCTGAGGTGGCCAGAGCTAATGTCCGCAGCCTCTGCCATTGGCCCTGAAGTTCTCTGCGTCTTGAGAGGGCCCCTCCCTCCAAGCCTGACTCGACAAAGAGCTAAGTTCACATCCCAATGAGTCAGAGCCTAGGAGAGGAGAGGCAGCTGTGGGCTGGGCTTTGGTGGCTTAAGAGCTGTCCCTTAAGAGTTGCACCCCACTGCGAGGTTTGTAGGGCTCAGCAGCCCTGGGCAGACACAACCTAGCCTGTGCCACCATCAGCCAAGTACAAGGACACTAGTCAGAAACTTGTAGTAGCCACACAGCCAGCAGGTGCCCAATAAAAGGAGCATTTGCATGTGACCTGTCCTTGCAGTAGATGGTGATTTGGAGCTAAAGCCACAGCATGCTATCTCTGGGGCTTTGCTTATGAAAAGTCCTGTCCAAAACTGTGTGTCTGGACAGGATTTATTCTCCTTGGAAAACAATTCCTGGAAGCTAGCATGGGAGGACCCTTTCTGCAAGTTTGATGCTGTATCTGTAAACTTGGTGTGGAATCTTCTAGTCTACTCTGTAATCTCATCATGCTTGTTTCATAATTAACTCAGTGCAGGCCACGTGCGGTAGCTCAATGCCCCAATGCTTTGGGAGGCCAAGACAGGAGGATCGCTTGAGGCCAGGAGTTTGAGACCAGCCTGGGCAACATAGTAAGACCCCCATCTCTACCAGAAAAATTATCCAGGTATCATGGCACGTGCCTATAGTCCTAGCTACTCTGCTCATTGCAACCTCCGCCTCCCAGGTTCAATTGATTCCCCTGCCTCAGCCTCCCAAGTAGCTGGGATTACAGGCGCCCGCCACCACACCCGGCTAATTTTTGGTATTTTTAGTAGAGACGGGATTTCACCATGTTGGCCACGCTGGTCTTGAGCTCCTGACCTCAGGTGATCCACCCGCCCAGCCTCCCAAAGTGCTGGGATTACAGGCATGAGCCACCACGCCCGGCCTCCTTGCTTCTAAATACTTTGAAATGCTGGATTAAATGCAACCCTTGTCCCTAAAATGAATGACTGGTTCACAAGAAAGGGCAGTCCCCAGAGCCTAAAATCTAAGAGTGAACAAAAAAGAGCAGCGGGCAGAACTGCACCATGGGTGCATGGACCTTGAGTTTTAATGACCACGTCGACTTGAGACAAAACCTGGGGTCTAAGCCATGTAGGAGCTGGAATTAAGTCACCAGCATAAAGTCAAGCTGCTTAAAAAAGGACTGAGGCAGACTCTGGGAAAACCCAACTGGCAGCACAAGAACTAGCAGAGAAGTTGGAATGTCGCAGCCTGTTTTTGGGTTGGGAGAACAGTCTTCCCTTGAGACTGTGTAACCACAGGCCTGCTGTCTTGTGGATTCAGGGCCAGCTTAACACTACCTGTGTTGCCTAGAAATCACCAAGCCGAGAAATGAACACAAAGGAGATCCTGGTCTAACTGACATCCAGAGGCCCTTGGCAGAAATGCGTATCCACCCTGCAGTGACATTCCCTGGGCCAGGGTGTACAGCGTTACCACTGATAAAGCACTGCTTAGATGATCATAAAATCCAAAGTCACAAGAAGAAACAACGTGTCATGCGCAAATGTCAGGAGACATACTTACTGGGAGACTTAGGTTTCTATAAACCTGTGATCACAGAATTGTCAGATGGTACTATAAAATATGCTTAAGTCTTGAAAGACATTAAAACAAAATGTGAGGAAAGATTAATACTCTATTCTATAAACAAAAATTAAAAGGGAACAAAGAACTAAATGTGAGAGCAAAAGCCATAAAACTCTTAGAAGAAATAGAAATCTATGTGACCTTGGATTAGGCAGCTGTTTCTTAGATATGACACCTAATGCACAAACGACTAAAGGAAAGAACCGATAAATTGGACTTCATCAAAATTTAAAACTTTTGGCTGGACACAATGGCTCATGCTTATAATCCTAGCAATTTCAGAGCCCAGGACAGAAGGCCCAGTAATTCAAGACCAGCCTGGGCAACATGGCAAGACCTCATCTATACAAAACCATTTTAAAAATTAAAAGCTTGGCCAGGCACGGTGGCTCACACCTGTAATCCTAGCACTTTAGGAGACCAAGGTGTGTGGATCACCTGAGGTCAGGAGTTCAAGACCAGCCTGGCCAACATGGTGAAACCCCATCTCTACCAAAAATACAAAAATTAGCCAGGCATGGTGGCGGGGGCCTGTAATCCTAGCTACTCAGTAGGTCGAGACAAGAGAATTGCTTAAACTCAGGGGACGAAGGTTGCAGTAAGCAGAGATCACGCCACTTCACTCCAGCCTGGGCAAAAGAGCAAAACTCCATCTCTCAAAAAAAAAAAAAGCAAAGCTTTTGTGCTTCCAAAGGCACTATTAGAATGGAAAGACAGCCTACAGAATGGGAGAAAATATTTGCAAATCACATCTAATTAAAGTTCAGAATTTAAATTATATAAAGAACTTTTACAGTTCAACAATAAAAAGACTAATAACACAGTTTTAAAATGAGCAGATCTGAATATAAACTTCTGCAGAGAATATATACAAAGCACAGGCACATAAAAAGACAATCAACATCATTAGCCATCAGGGAAATACAAAGCAAAACTCCAGTGAAATACTTCATACCCATTTGGAGGTCTGTAATTAAAAGATCCGATGGTCAGATAATAAAAAGTGTTGGTCCTATAAACCTGTGATCATAGAATTGTCAGATGGCGCTATAAAAGATGCTTAAGTCCTAAAGGACATGAAAGCTAAAACAAAATGTGAGGAAAGATTAATACTCTATTCTGTAAACAAAAATTAACTCAAAAGGGAACCCTCATATACATGCTGGTAGGAGTGTAAAGTCTTTTAGCACCTTTGGAAAACAGTCTGGAAGTTCCTTAAATGGTGAAATACAGAGTTATCATCTGACCTAGCAGTTCCCACACCTAGATACATACCTAAGAGTATTGAAAACATATATCCATGCAATAATTCATAAATGAATGTTCACATCTGTACATAATAACCAAAAAGGGGAAACAGCCCAAAGGTCCATCAGCTGATGAATAGATAAACAAAATATGGTCTACCCATACAACAGAATATTATTCAGCAATAAATAGGAAGGGGATGCTTACATGTGCTACAATAACAATAAACCTTAAAGACATGCTAAGAGAAAGAAGCCAGTCACAAAGGTGGTATGATTTCATTGATATGAAATGTCCAGAATGGAAAATCCATAAAGAAAGTAGAGTAATGGTGGTTGCCAGGGTCTGGGGGAGGGAGGATAAGGAGTGATTACCAATGGGTACAGAGTTTATTTTCGGAATTATGAAAATGCTCTGGCGTTAGACAGTGGTGATGGTTGCATAACCTTATGAATATACTAAAAGCTGATGATTCTATACTTTAAAGTGGCGAAGTTTATGATATATGTATTATATCTCAATAAAAATTAATAATACACCATCAAAAAAGACCAGATTTGGAAATGAACCAAAAAAATTACTTTTAGAAAAGAAAAGTAATAATCATTGCAGTTTAAAAGTCAACAAGCATTTCAGAGAGCAGATCAGAGCCAGATGAACAGAACGTTCAGTCTACAAAATTGGCCAGAGTGCAACAGAGATGAGGAGGTGGAGCTGAAGGCAGGGCAATGGAGAGGAGTCCCCCCAAGAGGATGTGCTGCAGGGCAGTTGTCAAGAGGGAATTAAGAGGCTTTCCAGAAGGTGAAGAAACCTCAGATTTTGAAATGGAGCAAGTTCTGAACAAAATAAATAAAACCAATTCCCCACCCGAGAGAAACTACAGTGTGCCATAGACAGAAAGTCCTGCTTGTTGAGGAAGACACTCGTGTTTGCTTTGCAGCTTTCTGTGGCCCTTATCTCTCATGTAGTGCATACCCTGAATGAGAAGCCAGGAGGACAGCCCTTGGATTGGCTTCTGGAGACAAAATCTTGACTGTACATCTTGGGTCCTGGTGCCACAAGGGTTGGTCCCTCAGCAGCTGTGTCCACAGGGTCTCACAAGACTGTCCAGCCATAAATACAGCTCTAGCAAGATCTATATAATAAGGGGCCGCCATCACATTTGTCATCCTCAGCTTCTCACTTGAAAGTGGCAGTGAGTGAGCATTCACTTCGAGCCGAGCTTCCTGCTTTCCTGACAGAATGAGTATAGTGAGCTTCTAGGAGCCTGGTGCTGAATTCTCAGGTTGGGTTGGATTCTTATATGAGGAAAATGAAATAAAACAGGTCCCAGTATCTTTAACAAAGGCCTTACAGAAAATGCAGATACTTTCTTGATGTGGCTGTTTTCTTGTATTGATTCCCAGTGAAAACCAGGAGGAGCCCTTTAAAACACCCATCAGTGGAGGCCTGGTGCAGTGGCTCATGCCTGTAATCAATCC